AGAGGTGCAGGGACAGTGAGAGGCTTCACCAGAGACAGAGTGGGGAGCAGAATAGGAAGATTGTCAAAGTACACTGCTGAGGGGAGCAGCGGGCCAGAAAGGAGAAGTCTGCCGCGCCATGGGGGCCACCTCCCGGGCAGAGATCCAACTCACTGCAGCTGTGGCCAGCTTGCAGTGCTGAGCTTTAACTTGCTGTGCCACCAGAGAGGCCATTCCTAAATCCTTCAGTTTATTTCTCAAAAATAAGGATTTTCCTCCAGTATCAACACAGGTGTCAGCTTCCAGTTTTTACTGAGAATTAATAAACATAATTCTGTAAGTTCAAGACATGATGACTTGATTTATATATGTTGTGAAATGATTGTTACAGTAGGTTCAGCTACATCCATCTTGTCTAGAGACACAACAGTAAGAAGAAATGAGAAAAGTAAAAAATTTTCTCCTTGTGATGAGAACTCCCAGAACCTGCTCTTCTCGCAACTTTCTTAGCTATGGTCACTATGCACATCACATCCCCAGGACTTAAAATTGAAAGTTTGTACTTTAAAATCATCTTCTTCCTGTTCTCCCTCCTTTTGTGCTTTGCTTCTGATAATCATGTCAGATTTCTAGTTGTGAGTTTCATGAAGTTTTTGTATCTCATTTTCTTTAGTTTCCACCATAAGTGAATCATACAGTATTTGTCTTTCAAGGTCCAGCCATGTTGTCAAAAAGCTAGGAGTTCCTAATTTTTTAATGACTGAATAATATTCATACATCTATAGTTACATATTTAAATATTTATATCTATATAGCTACATCTACTTATCTTGTAATTTATCAATTTCACAAATTTGTATTGATTTAAGAACTTTTATCTAATCTACCATTCATATCCTAATGTTAACTACTGAGTAGAATGGACCCTTTACACATTTCTCCCTTCCAGCAAAGGATCCAGTCCAGGCTTAGGGATTATATTGTTTATGTTGCTTGTGTCATATCCAAAAAAAAAAAAAACTATTATTAAGTTTTACACACCCTTCAACAATGCACAAAGATTCCAGTTTTCCCCCATCCTTGGCAACTCTATTTTCTATTTTTAGAATAGCAGTTCTCTAATGACTGTGGGCAAGCTGTTTTATGTATATAGTTTTGGACATTTCTTTTTCCAGAAAGTGAACATTTTTTTCATGTGACCAGGCACTTTTGTAAACATGATTTTTGACTATTCTACAATATGGTATTTTAATTTGCTTTTAGTAATTTTCAGAATCTAAAAAATGTTGTACAGAATATTCTTATAAAGAAAACCTTGTATATATCCTGATATTTTCCCTAGTTGATAATGTTCTGGAAGTTGAATTCCGATCTGAGGGGATGGACATTTAAATATTTTTAACATAGTGCCAGACTGCTTTCCTAAAAGGGGCACCAGTTTATATTCCCACTGGCAATATGACAGTATCATACATGGAATATTATCAGACAAAATTACTTCAACGTATGATCATAAATGCCAGGTCATCAAGAACGTACATCAATTTATAACAATGGTCAACTATGAAAACAGAACTAACCTTAATGTATGTGGTCAAGTAAAAGTTTAGATTTCTTCTTATTTGCTTATATTTTCACTCAGAACTTCCATGTAATTTTAGTATAAAAGTAAGTATTTAATTTATACATGCTAATACATTTTCTAATACATGCAATTTTTAAATTGCATGCTTTCTACTTTTACTAAAGCAAAGCCCTTTTTCTGGTTTATTATTTCTCTTTTTGTAAAATACCTTATTCACTTTGTGTGTCTTGAGTTTCTAGAACTATTCATATATGAACTCTATCACTGATGTCGTTTCCTTTTAAAGCTTTATTTTGTTACAGAAACTTAAAATTTTTATGTAGTTACATCTTTTACTTACTAGCTTTTATACTTAGAAAACCCTTCACGACAGAGGGTGTGTGGTCAGCCGGTGGTCATCCTCCATCCAGTGGAGACTAATTCCCTATATAACCTGGGGGGCACTCTTTCAGTTTCCACCAGAGGGGTAACAGTGGGGATGCAAGGCATTTTGGATTTTGTAGTTTGCTGATCTACTCAAGGCTGAGTACTCTTTCCCCAACTCATTTAAGTTCTCAATGTTAATGTTCACAGATCAGATGTTCATCTCTATTTTGTACTGTTTTGTGTTAGCTTTATTTAACATTTCACCCTTAAATTCCAATCATAACTTATTTTGGTGTACGTTTTGATAAGGAATCTAGCCAAAATAGTTATTTCAATACCATTTTAAAAATAAAGTTTTTTTCTTGATTTTAAGTGTCCCTTTTATCAAATAATACATTATGCATTGGGCCTGGTTCTAGGCCCTTTAGTCAGCTTCCGATGGTTTTTCTAGGGAGTTAGTCATCAGGAAATGACCTGCCTTGGAGTGTTACTGCCCAACTAAGGAATTGTGTGGCTAAAAGGCTTTTATTGCAACAATCGATTTAAAAATACGAGAGAAAATCTTTGTTGGCCTTCTTAATACGTAATTTGGGATTGCGATGACCAAACTATTAAACATGTTTTAAGCATTACTAACAGGATGTGCAAAACTCACCCAGTGCAAGGCTCTGTTCTAAGCGACATTCTACAGAAATCCCACAAGTCCGCCGGCCCTCCCGGGGCAAGTCCCTGGGGCCCCAGCTAATTTAAGCCACTCGGATGTGTGCGGCAGAGGCAGGGGGCAGGAGGCAGGAGGCTTCGTGAAGAAATCTGTACACACTACCTCCGTTTGCTGTGTCTGCGGTGGCACGTATGAAGGGGTCTGATCCCCATTCTTACAAGCCGGGAAAACATGATTCTTCCCACCCCTACGCGCTTCCGTAGCCCGAGAGCGCAGGTACTGAGCTCCTCCCCGCCCCATCGCCGCATTCTAACTGGGGACAGGAGATCAAGAAACATTTTTCTAAGTGGGGGTTGGGTTGGTGAGGAAGCGTGGGAAGACTGGACCCAGGGGTTCTCGCCCAGCCCGCGGACAACGGACGGTACAGCGGGAGACTCCAGCGGCTCTTAACTTTGAGGTCACGTCGCGCCTCCGGCCTGCTTTACGGCTTTCGACGCGTAGCTTTGCGGCTCTTCTCCCCTTCAAACTTGATTTACGGCTCTGCCACCTGGCTCCAAGCCCCGCCTCCGGGCGCGCGCTCGTTTCGGACCTTCTTCCCAGGATGCCCGAGCACTTCCTTCCCAGCCTCCTCTGCGCGCCTGTCCAAACTCGCGTCCGCCGGTGTTTAGCCTCCACCGGGGCTCTCTGTGCTGGGCGCGCGGTCCAGGCGCGTAAGTGGGGTGGGAGGACCGCGGCGGCGGGGGTGGGGTGGGACCGGCCGGGACTTGTGGAGCGTGGGGCGGCTTGTTCGGAATGAGCTCGTGGGGGGGCCGTGGAACCCGTCTGGCGCTCCCTGCGTAGCGATGCCGAGTCCCGGGGCCTGTGCTCCCTAGTTCGAACAGCAGGGTTCAGAATCGGAGAACTTGGTCTGATGGGCAGAGGGGCGGGAAGCCTGCACCTGTACGGGAGCACACACGCCACGGGGAGGTGCTGCTGGCTCTCCCTCGCGACACCGCTGCTGCTCTTTGAAGGGACTGTTGACATTTGCTGCAGGCGCCCAATCGGAGTAGGAGACCAAGGTGGGGCAGGAATTACTAATGTAAACAAGGAATTTGAGAATTCACCCATTCCGAACCTTTAAGAAGTGAGATGCAGATCATATACGATTACATTCACCCTTTTAAGTTGTACAGCAAAATGATTTTTCGTATATTCACAAGGTTGTGCAGCCACCCCCGTGACCTAATTACAGGATATTTTTATCACACCTAAGAAACTAAACAAGCCTAATGCACGAGAAGGCACGTTTGTCACTTACGGCTACGCCCAGCTCGCCTGATCTTTCTTGTCTTTATGAACTTGCTTAGTCAAGATATTTCACATTGGTGGAATCAAACAGTATTTTTCCTTTTGTCTGGCTTAGCATAGTGCTTCCAAGATTCATGCATGTATCCGCCTGTGCTACACTACTTTTTACGGTTAAACAATATTCCTTCATAGGGATAAACCACATTCTGTTTCTCTCACTTGTTGATGGGCATTTGGGTTATTTCCACTTTTTGGCCTCCTCCTTTTAAGGCATGTTCTTCCACAGAACTCAGGCACAAACACTTAAAAACTAATTTCTCATAGCTAATATTTAATTCTGGGGTTAGCTCAGGAATTTCGGTGACCTCAGGATTAGTATCTTTTAGGGCATTTTAAAGTCTATTCTCAGCACAGCACTTAGCAGATCATTACTGGTAACAAGCAGGCACATGTTCAAGCACATTCTCTTAGTCTCTCCTTTGAGACACCTCTGGGGCTGGGATCGAACTCGCAGCTTGCAGTGCTGTGTCCCAACCTGTTGCACCTCTGGGAGGGCCCGATTGACCTAACACTGCTCACTGAATTGTGCATAAACTGTCTTCTATTTTCCTGGAATACTCTGACCTGTTAGAACTCTGTCAATATCTTAATACTAGGTGTGATTTTTTTTTAATTTTTTGAAGTAGAGGCTCCTACCTTTCACCTTTAGCATTCTTTGAGGTTTTTTCAAATCTCTTTTTGCAGAGTTTACCAGAATCAACATGCTGGGGACTGAAGAAGCAACTCTTGGAGGCCGCGATAGTCATCCTTCCGCTGGTGGCAGCCCTGTATTATGCTTTGGACAGGTAACTGTGGGTTTTTGTTGTTGTCGTTTTTGCTTTTTACTACCTGGAAGGAATAGGGGTAAGCAAAAAAAAAAAAATTATAATGTTTGAGGAGGCAACTTATAGAGCAACATTATATGTGTATAAACTATTTTTTTTCTTTTAAAGATTTATTTATGCATACAAGAACTGGGATACAGGTCGGAGGAAGAGGGAGGGGGAGAGGATTCACCAGAGACAAAGTGGGGAGCAGAACAGGTAGATTGACTGAAATACACCGCTGAGGGGAACAGTGGGCGGGACAGGGAACGGCTGCTGTGTCATGTGGGTCAGTTCCCTGGCTGGGGATCGAACTCTCGCAGAAGCAGCTATAGTCAGCCCCAAAGTGCTACACTTCAACCTGTTGTGCCACTAGGGAGGGCCCTTACCCAGTTCTTTTTTGGAGGCATCCAAGGCTTCTAGTGTTATATTCTTTGCAAAGATATTCTGAGTACATAAAAAAAGGTTCTTACTTTTTTTACACAAACTGTACCTTTTCTTTGCCAGAAATCTGCTAGTATTTATTTCACTTAAATAGGACAAGGGGAAAATTACCAAAGGGACAAAAATCAAAACAAGTAGTTATGTATAGGATGGGAAATTGTTGAACTGGAGAAATGGTATAAAACATTGAAGAAACAAATGGAGATGTAACTTTTTATGTTTTCTCTTTCTCTGCCTGCTTGCCTGCATAAATGTGATGTAGAGTCTTAATTGGGAAGTTTTCTTTTTCTGATTCTGACTTGAGAAAGCTTTATATGGAGGGTGGATCAGTGATCTGTTGGGGCCACAACACCTTTCTAGGTTCCACGAGGTCAAAATTATTTTATACTAATACTTAACTACTGCTTACCTTTCGCTCTTCCCTGAATACATGGTGGTCTTCCACATGTTGCATAGTATGTCGTGATTCTGGCACCATGACTAGGGTAATGTGTGCCTTAAAAGTTAGTCAGTTTTTGTTTGGAGTTTTCTCAAACTGCTAAAAATTGAGCTTCCATATGACCCAACAATCCCACTCCTAGGTATCTACCCAAAAGACAAAAACACTGATTCAAAGATCCTGCACCCCCATGTTTATTGCTGCTTTGTTTACAATAAGAAAGACACGAAATCAACCCAAATACCCAAAAGTAGACGACTGGATTAAAAAGATGTGGTACACACAATGGAATTTTACTCAGCAATCAAAAAGATAAACTCATGCCTTTTGCAGCAACATGGATGGAGCTGGAAAGGGATCATGCTTAGTGAAATAAGCCAGAAAGAAAAAGAAAAATACCAGATGTTTTCACTCATAACAGGAGTATAAAGGGCTGGAGTGGGGAATGGGATAAAAAATGGGGGGGAGGGGAAAATTGCATGGGACTGTGGTGATGGCACACCAGTGATTTGGTGATGGGAAGCCCATGGGATTACAACTGAGATGGAAAAGGCACAAAATGATGTAAAAATAAAATATTCTATTATTTTTTAAAAAAAGTTAGTTTTAATTCCTAACATTTATGATGTAACATACATAAATCAAAGCTCGTGGGGCCCTCAGTGTAAAGGGGTTTGAAGATGAAAAAGGTGGAGACTTGCCACTGTAAGGAATTGAGAAATGTCACTCTGATCTTCCCTTTCTGGATTGTAGCACCAGTACACGGCGGAGGAGTACCAGGCTATCCAGAGTGCTCTGAGGCAGAGGCTGGGCCCAGAATACATAAGTAGCCGCATGGCTGGAGGAGGACAGAAGGTAGATTGTTGCCTGAAAATTGGTGTCCAAACAACTGTCTACTCACGTGACCTTTCCAAAGCCTTCTCTGTGCTTTGTGGAGTCAGTCTCCTGTTGGCTGTTACTGTGTCCTATGTCCTAGGAGACCTGGGCTCCAGTCTCTTGTCATGTGAAGTCACCCAAGCATTCTCTTGAGACTGATACACCTGCCACCCTACAATTTTTTTTTTTTAAAGATTTATTTATTTATTCATACAGAACTGGGGTACAGGCCAGAGATGCGGAGGGTGAGAGGATTCACCAGAGACAGAGTGGGGAGCAGAACAGGCAGATCAATGAAGCACACTGCTGAGGGGAGCAGCGGGTGGGTCAGGAGAGGTCTGCCACGCCATGTGGTCACCTCCGGGGCAGGCGGGGATCGAACTCATGCGGAAGCGGCTTTAGATTCTCAGTGCAGTGCTTTAACCCGCTGCGCCACCAGGGAGGGCCCCACCCTACAATTTTAATGCTGTCTTTTAAAATGTTTCTTTTATCATCTCCTTTTAATTTTAATTTGTGTATGTTTTTGGTCTTTATAAAATGTCAAGTTGAGGTTTGTACTTTTTTGGAAACTGAGTTTTAGAAACTGGTAGGTGAATGGATATCGTCCCCAGTTGAGTGTAGTACCTGCCTCCAGCAGAACATAAGTCCTAACTGACTCCTTCTAGAAGATATTTGAGATAAGTTTACGAGAATTTTCCTGGAAAGTTTAAGGGCAACTGCTAGAAAGCTGGGGAGGAATAAATCAAGTACATTTTTGTCCACATTTAAATATGGCAAGGAATTATAACAAAATTTTTTCTTTAATTTTTTTCTCTCCAGGTGTGTTACATTGAGGGTCACAGGGTAATTAATCTGGCGAATGAAATGTTTGGTTACAATGGCTGGGCTCACTCTATCACACAGCAGAATGTAGGTGAGTATCCCTTCTGCAGTGGTGACTTCTTTAAATCCCTTACTTTGACATTGTCTGATTTCTGCTAATAGTGTTTTTGTGGTCCAGGATGTAGGGCAGGTATATCTGATTGTGCATAGGATTCAGTATCCTTTTCAACTGATTCTCTTTCCCACTCTTAGATTTTGTTGACCTTAACAACGGCAAATTCTACGTGGGAGTCTGTGCATTTGTGAGAGTCCAGTTAAAGGTGAGGGTGTTGGTGTAGACCGGCTGCCTACAGGGGTGGGGTGGGTGGTAAGAGGCAGGAACAGGCAGAGAAATGGTCATGGCGGGCTCTCCCTGGTGGCACAACAGGTTAAAACACCGCATTATGAAGCTTTCTGAAGCCCCTGCAGCATGAGTTCGATCCCCCGCCAGGGAGGTGACTCACATGGCACAGTAGCCCTCTCCTGCCCTGCCTGCTGCTCCCCTCAGCAGTGTATTTCAGTCCATCTGCCTGTTCTGCTCCCCACTCTGTCTCTGGTGAATCCTCTCATCCTACACACCTCTGGCCTGTACCCCAGTTCTGTAAGCATAAAAAAAAATGCTCATGGCACTGCCAAGCTAGAGCTTCCCCCACACCCTTAAATACACACAGCTGGGTCTTGGTCTTTCTCAAGATAGTGGTTTTGAAATTTTTAAACTCATGTGCCCCCAAGGGAATTTTGAAAACTTGTTCCCTTGCATATTTTTAAGTTGATACTAAAAGTTTTCACTATAAACAAGGGCATTTTTTTCATATTCAAAAATGTGATATTTTAAAATAAATCTGTTACATTTTTTAAAACTACTATGGATTCTAAATACTATCATCCATTTAAAAGAAATCGAGGAAGGTATTCTTTTTGTTTTCCTGCAAGCTGTTCTCTAATTGTCAGTCATTGTACATTGTTTCCTCTAGAGTTCATGTTTCCATCTTATTTCTCCATTGACAATTATCCTAAGATAATATATATTTATGACTGGAAATTTTTATTAGTAATCTTTACATCTGTTAGTGGGTAAGAATGTGTGTGTTTGTAGAAATTAAATTTTGTAGTAAATTTTCAGTGACCTTAGGCTGTACACTAAAAAATTTCTGGATTGAGTTACTGTTACAGGTATTATTAATATACAGTTGATTAACCAATTGTGTTTAAGTTGAAGAGACAATAAAACTACATCAAAACTTTTATAGGTAAAAGAAGTAAGATTTTGTAGAAAATGCATTTCTTAATGTGAAAGGTGAGTTTTTTTTCCCCCAGTTTAACATTACTTCCTCTTAAGTGAAACATTCTATATTAATTCTGTTCTGATTTCTTGTTTTTATTGCTTTATCTGTGCATATAAGAACTGGGGTATAGGCTAGAGGTGCAGGGATGGTGGTGAGAGGATTCACCAGAGACAGAGTGGGGAGCAGAACAGGCAGATCATCGAAGTACACTGCTGAGGGGAGCAGCGGGCGGGTCAGGAGGGGAGCAGCAGGCGGGTCAGGAGAGGTCTGCCGCGCCATGTGGTCACCTTCAGGGCAGGGATCGAACTGGTTGTGCTTCCAGGGAGGGCTCTGCCTTCTTTTTATAAGTGGTACTGGAAAATTAACATAACTTTTATATTGTTGTAATTGTGCTTTTTTACTAGTAGTTATTGTTGTCAATCTCTTACTGTCCCTAGTTTTTAAATTAAACTTTATCATAAATATGTAAGCATGGAAAAAATGTGTAAGTAAAGTTCACTGCTACCAAGACTCAAGGGGCCTTGGAATATACTCCCCCAAGTAGAGGGGACCAGCATAAGTCCATGTGAGCACTGCAGCTTGGGGAGGAGAAAAGCTTGGGACCAGCAACACATGACGTTGAACCGCTTTTCTACTCCCAGGACGGTTCATATCATGAAGATGTGGGCTATGGTGTTAGTGAGGGCCTCAAGTCAAAAGCCTTGTCTTTGGAGAAGGCAAGGAAAGAGGCTGTCACAGATGGGCTAAAGCGAGCACTGAGGTAAGCAAAAAAGGGCTGGTGTTTGACTTGCTTCGTTTCCAAGCACAATTTTTCTTAAAGTAATACCATACATAGTTCAGTCAAGTAGCTCAAGTGTTGTTTCTCCCTGTGCTCATCTTGCCTCTTCTCTCTTCCCATAGTGCTGCCTTATGTTGAGCAGTGTGGTAGAGTACGGTGCTCTCTATTCTGTCCTTAATTTTATATTCCCCTTCCTCCAACAGGTAAAACCCTGAAGACCTAGGCACATGAGAACACAGATAGCGTTCGCATTCTCTTCACAGTTTTACCTAAACAGTTCTATATTATGTGTAGTGACTTACTTCACTACATACAGCAGGGTTTTTAACTCTTTTTTGGGTCATAGATAATAGAGAATTCAAATTTAAGTGAAGAGAAATGCATATAAAATGCGCTAAAAGTTTGCAAAGCCATAAGTTCTGGGGGAGGCCTTATATCCCAAGTAAAGAACTTTTAGTCATGGAGGATTATGCCCACCACTACTGGGCAATTGGAGCCATTCCCTGGAGGGAAAAGGGCTGCTTGGGGTTTTGTGCTCTTCTGCAGGAGGCAGCTAATGGAGTTTTGTCAGTTGTCTCTTAGACTTGTCATACTTACTGCTGCTCGTGAGGGCAGAGATTTGTAACTTATGCTCATTGCTATATTCTTAGAACTTAATACAATGCCAGAATTTGGCAGACCCTCAGTAAACATTTTTATTATTGTTTTTTTAAAAAGTTAATTATATATGCATCCAGAACTGGGGTACGGGCCAGAAGTGCAGGGGTGGTGGAAGTCTTTACCAGAGACAGAGTGGGGAGCAGAACAGGCAGATCAACGAAGTGCACTGCTGAGGGGAGCAGCAGGTGAGACAGGAGAGGTCTGCCGTGCCGTGTGGGTCAGCTCCGGGCTGGGGGATCAAACTTGCACTGAAGCAGCTGCGGCCATCTTGCAGTGCTGCATCCCAACCTGTTGCACCACCAGGGAAGGCCTCAGTAAACATTTTTGAATGACTTAGAGTCTGTCTCTTTTGTGCAGTTGAGAAGCAGCTTGCTCAATGGTTGTAACTCTGGTCTCTGACATTTATATGTAAGAATTCTTAACCCTCTTTCACTTTTTTTCCCCCTTACCATCAGAAGTTTTGGGAATGCACTTGGAAATTGTATTCTGGACAAAGACTATTTGAGGTCACTAAATAAGCTTCCTCGCCAGGTATGTTAGAAATGAATGAATGGAATGCGCTGTTGTAAAGATAATGTAACATTCCTTTGTGAGTATTTGGAGATGGAAGGAAAAGAAATGAAGAATTGACTCTGTCCAGTGAAGAATTGGACAGAGTTTGGAATAGGTAGTTCAGACTTCTTTGAATGTTAGAGCTACAGGAGCCTACCACTTTATTTTACAATGAAACAGTTGGAGCCTAGATAGCTCCTTTTCTCTCCCATGGAGAGAATTGTGGCTGGGGGTGTTCTGTAAAACCTCAAAGGAACGCAGCCTTCTGGAGCACTACTGTCACTTCTTACAGACACTCTGCACTCACCCGTTCAATCTTCTTGCTTTTCCTTAGCTCTCATGTCTAAGCAAGGGGTAGATCGCCCTTGCTTTAATCAGTACCAGTCATGTGATCTGAGCATTTGTCTTTGGAGACTGGGGTCTGCAGTGAGCGTCCTTGGAGTCACACTTGACCTGGGCTGAGGCGAGCTCTGGAGTGTTCCTGTTGTCAGGTGGAGTGTGGCTGCTTCGCCTGGCATTCTGTGATGTCCCTGCAGTGCCATCACACAGGGCAGCGTTGTCTATCTTGTACTTGAGGGATTCTTTTTCTTGTGGAGCCCTAATAGAGGTATGTGTCAGTTGGCATCTGTCAAACCTCCAAAAAAAAAAAAAAACATTTGCCATTTTAATCCTTTTTAAGAATAAAATTCAGTAGTGAAATACAGCTCCAGAACTTTTTTATCCTGTAATATTCTATACCCATAAAACAGCCACTTTTTTGCTCTACCCTGACTTTTTGTGACTAGCTGACTTCACTTAGGAGGATAATGTAACTTCATCTATTCTGTAACTTCATCTATAATGTAACTTCATGTGTATTGTAGCATATATCAGAATTTCCCTCCTTTTTAAGGCTGAATCATATTCCATTGTGTGTATGTCACATTTTCTTGTTCCTTCCATCCGCTGAGGGACAGTGGGCTGTCTCCCTTTCTTGGCTGTTGTGCCTAGCGCTGTTACGAGCCTGGGTGTGCGGGTACCTCACCAAGGCCCTGCTTCCAGTTATTTTTAATACATACCCAGAAGGGGGGTTCCTGAATTATATGTAGTTACAGTTTATTTTTTGATGCATTTCCATACTCCTATAACGTTTATACCATTTTGTAGCCCAAGAGTTAGTGCAAACACTTTCTGATTTCACCCTGTCCTTGTCAACACTTGTTAATGTTTTATTTTTTTAATTTAAGTATAATTGACATACCATTATTTTAATTTCAGTATACAACATAGTGATTTTACATTTGTATACACTGTAAAAATGTATACAGTGATGATCACAGTAAGTCTAGTTACCATGTTAGCAACTTGCAAATTTGTAATAATTTTCCATATTTACTTTGAAACTGAAAATTTGTACCTCTTGGTCTCCATCAGTTTTTCTCATCCTCAACTCTTCATCCTTACAACAATTAATCTCTTTTCTATGATTTTAGTTTAATTTAGATTTCACATATAAATGAAATCATGCTGTATGTCGTTCTCTGATTTATGTTAGCATTATACACTCTAGATGTATTGATGTTGCAAAAGATACCAGTTTTTCAGTGGCTGAGTTTTAACGTATACCACTTATACATACACTTACCTATATTTATATATACCACATCTGTTGGTGGGTACTCAGGTTGTTTTCAAATACTGACTATTGTAAATAATGCTTCAGTGAAGATAGGATGCGTGTGTCTCTTCAAATTAGTATTTCCTTACCCCTCAGGATACTCAGAAGTAGACTATTTCGAACATAATGGTGTTTCCATTGTTAATTTTTGCGGAATCTCCACAGCATTTTCCAGCAGTAACTACAGTTTACCTTCCCACCAATGGTTGGAGGTTTCCTTCTCTCACATACTTCCCAACAGTTGTTTCATGTCTTTTTGAGAATGGCCATCGACAGATATGAGGGATTACAGGAGTATTTTCTTAACTTCTATTTCTGATAGTTCGTTTTTGAAATGCAATCAACTTTTGTGTACTGATTTTTGTGTCTTGCAACATTGCTGACTTCATTTATCAGTGTTAATACTTTTTGGGTGGCTTCTTAGGGCTTTCTAGATGTAAAATTATACCACAAATTATACCAGTTTGGATGCTTTTTATTTTTCTTTCTTGTCTGTTCACTCTGGTTAAGATTTCTAGTATGATGAATAAAAATGGCAAGAGTTGAACATCCTGTCTTATTCCTGATCTTAAGAGGATCACTTTTTACTGTTGAGTATGTTAGCAGCAGGCTATTCATATATGGTTTTTTATTATGCTGAGGTGTGTTTCCTCTATACCCACTTTGTTGAAAAAAAATTTTTTTTTTAAATTTTTTTTTTTCCCCAAAGATTTGTGCATACAGAACTGGGGTACAGGCCAGAGGCTCAGGGGCGTACAGGCCAGAGGCGCAGGGGCGGTGAGAGGCTTCACCAGAGACAGAGTGGGGAACAGAACAGGCAGATCAACGAAGTACACTGCTGAGGGGAGCAGCGGGCGGGTCAGGAGAGGTCTGCCACGCCATGTGGTCACCTCCGGGGCAGGCGGGAATCGAACTCATGCAGAAGCGGCTTTAGCTTCTCAGTGCTGTGCTTTAACCCGCTGCGCCACCAGGGAGGGCCTGTTGAAAATTTTTATCATAAATGGATGTTAATTTTTGTCAGATACTTTTTTCTGCATTTATTGAGATTATCATAATTTTTACCCTTCATTTTGTTGATGTGATGTATCAGATGTATCATGTTGATCTGTAAATGTTAAACCATCTTTACATCCCTGAATGAATCCTGCTTGATCAGGGTGTAAAATCCTTTTGATGTATTGTTGAATTTGGATTGCTCCTTTTTTTTTGTTGAGAGTTTTTGCATTCTATGTTCATTGGGAGTATTGCCTGTATTTTCTTTTTTTGAGGTGTCTGTCATATTTTGGTTTTAGGGTGATGCTGGCTTCATCAAATGAATTTGGAAGTATTTTTTTCTTCCTCAGTTTAGAATTCAGAACCAGTTAGATCTGGTTCTGATCTCTTTTATTTGGGGGGGGGGATGAGGTTATTTTTTATTGACTAAACCTTATTGATAATTGGTCTTTCAGATTTGATATTTTTCTTCTTGATTCACTTTTGGAAGATTATATGATTCTAGGAATTTTTTTATTCTAGATTGCCCAGTTTGTTGACATATAATTGTTCATAGTATTCTCTTATAACCCCTTGTATTTCTGTTGTATTGGTTATACTTTCTCTTCAATATTTCATTTCCAATTTGAGCTTTCTCTTTTTTCTTGGTGAGTTTATTTGGAGGCCTACCAATTTTGCTTATCTTCTCAAAGAACCAGCTCTTCATTGATTTTTTTTTTTTTTTTTAGTCTGTATTGAATTTATTTCCGTCTGACCTACTCATTTACTTGGAGTGTAGATAAGACATTTCATAGTATAATTTTCATTTTCAGGTTATCTTTATCAAAATGTAGTTATTTTAATTCCTCAATATTGATATCAGTATTAGTGTTATAAATTTAGAGATAACTTTCACCCAAGTAAAAAGACTGGGTTATTGTAGTGCTGGAAGTAAAATAGTTTCTAAATGCTCTAAACTACACAAGCATTACTGCTTACTGTTGGTGAGATGCCAGTCTGACCCTGTAGTGGGAGATTCCCTGCAGCCTTTTTTAGAAATATAGATCTTAAAAGCAGAAAAAGGAGGGAGATCATCGAAGTCAGTCAGTCACTGCAGTTCTTTCTCCCACTATTAGTTGCCCCTTGAAGTGGATTTAACTAATGCAAAGAGACAAGATTTTGAACCAGCTGTGGAACAAGCAAGATACAGTAGCTGTCAGCAGAACATGGCTCTGAGACTCCAAAAACCAGAAGAGGTGATCTCCCCTTGCAGACCAAGCCACTCAGATGATCCTCATATTGTGATACAGCGGGAAAAGGAGAGCAGCTCCAGGTATAAGGCCTACCTAGTTTCCTCCCTTTCCTCTTCTGCTGCTCTTGCTCCTGTGATCTGTTATCTCCATGTCTAATCTTAGAGCCAGCAAGTTGCTTTGTGTGCTCCACAGGAATGGACTATTCTTGTTAACTCAGTTATGTAAGGAACTTACTCTCTTTTGTTGCTATTTGCTGCAGAGGTCTCACCTCTTCTGATGCACAGAGTGATGCCACCTACCAGCGGAAGCTCAGGCAGAAACAGCTGCAGCAGCAGTTCCGGGAGCAAATGGAGAAACAGCAGCAAGTTCAGCTCTCTGATCCACCTGGGGAAATGAAGGGTCATGGTACGAATGGGAGCAGAGGCTCTAGGGAGGTGTGCTCTGAGGCGGTGGGCTAGTCCACTGAGTGGCCCGAGTCCCGGCCAGTTCAGTGTGACTGTCCAAACCAGACCCTAGGAAGACTTCTGTTAAAATGTGGGATCTATGAGGCCAAGAAATTAGGATAATGAAATCTGCCATGCATTCGCATTTCTAAAGTTAGAACACGGGCTTTAACATAAAGTGCAGAACCTTTTTTTTTTTGCTTTGACTGTCTCAGCATCAGAAAACCTCTTGATGTTTATGAGTGGGGTTTGAATATAAGGCCAAACTGGGTTTGAAGGCACTGGGAACTTTTGGTAGTTAGTTTATTCATGATCTTTATTTCAGAATTATGCTTCAGTGCAAGAGTTTTTTGGGGGGAGTCTTCCCAAAGTATAAAATGAAGAAAGGGCTTGTTCTAGACCAATGGGCTTTTGTCTTGCTTCCTCTTAAGCATTGTGAAGTGGCAGCGATCTTGGCTTATATTTGTACAAAGGACTGGCTTTTTATTTGTTTGAAATTAATGGAGGGAAACCACCCCTCACCCACAACTGACTGCAGGGGGTGTCCTTAGTAATAATCATTCCAGTGTTTGGCTTTCAGACCACTGCAGGAGCCCTATGCATGAAGGGTGGAGGAGAATGTCTTCAGGACAGTTTACTTATTAAATTTCTGCTTACTGTTTTGTTTGAACAAAAGTGAAGGGTTATGGCTTAAAAAAAGCAAAAACTGGACAGATCTGTTGTCATAGGAGAAATAAATATTTTGTGAGATGAAAAAAAATATATATAGTCATTTTAAACTCATATAGGTCTGTAGGTGGAACTGGGCCTCGAGAAGCTGGAGTGCTAGGCCGTGCTGGGAGCCAGCACGCCCTCAGGCAGCTCTGGTTTCTGAGGCTGCTCCTGACAGCTGAGTTAGTGACCCCGTGTCCTGTCTCTCGTGACTGCAGCGGAGCTGCCCTTGCCGCCTGTGAAGCACAGCACTCCTGTAACTGCTGTTTCTGAACCACCCACTGAGAAAGACTTTGCAGGTCAGTAGGACAAAGGAATGGCATTAAGTATTCATCAGTAAATACCTATGAGGTACTAGTAAAGTTACTTTGCTGAATAGAGATACATTTTAAAAGCAGCATAACTATCCTCTTCTCAATTTTTTAAATCCCATGCATTTTTAGAAAAAGAGAACGCAAAATGGATAGATGGAAGTTCTATTAGCACATAATTCTGCTTCTTTATTGGCATAAGAGAAGCGTCAGTATGCTTCTGGCTCTAAAACCTCTTTGAGGCACTCATGAAGTATGATTACTACCATCAGTTTTCCGTGTTCAGTGTGACACCACCTCTTTGTTGATGCTGTTATTTTCCTGTGATCTCTTTGAAGACAGTCTTGAAATGTGGGATATGACTCCAGATACTTGGGACAGTGTTGCCAAGCCTTTGTCAAGACTGGAACCTGCCCCAGTCCCTGCCACTCCAGACCTGAAGAACCAGATGGTGACTCGAAGCAGGACCCCAGAAAATTTTTGTCAGCAGAATCCACAAGCAAAATCTGAACCCTGGCACCCTCAAATTTACAATGTCATCCAAAACATAACAGGTAGTAGTGTTTAGAGACAAAAATTGAAGGGAGAACCTGGGTTTAATTCTGTGAATTCTAAAGGAAGAGTGATAACTCAATTTTAAGAAGCTGGATACAATCACAGGTGTTAGAAAATGGGAAAAAATTGGTTTAGGAGTCAAACATTCCTGTGGGGTCCTGACTTGAGATGTAACTCTGTTTAGTCTGATAGTAGTAAAAAGCTTAGGTATGATAGCATTTAAGAATTTTTCCTATGAAAAATGTTATACTCACATATTATTGCAGCTTGCACTAAACAGAAGAAATCTGTTGTCCTCATGACTGTGTTCATTCTGGATGCTCAGTATAAATTAGGATTGTTAAAATCACTTCAGAGATTACTAGATGTCATTACATCCCTTATTTTAAAAACATTTCAGTTGTATTGAAATAATTTTATCTTCCATAGGAAACTGTGATTCCTACAGGAAAAACCAGGACATGAAGAAAAGGAAACTGGATCCATCTTAGCTGACATTCAAGCCACATTATTAGACTTGCCAAAGACTAAAAACTATTTTTTGGTCATGAAATTGGACATCATTCTAGAGAATGAGCTTGTTTCCAAGGACTTAGTTTGTTTTATTCTGAAAATTTAAACAGAATTTGACTATTGGAACTTACTGCAGAGAAGGCTGTGCCACTATAAAACCAGCACTTGTATTTTAAAAGGCTTGTCACACACTGCTGTGGGGAGATTAAATACCCTTCTTTGGCTCGTGAGGTTTTTCACTATTTATTCCTAAAATATTACATTAATAAAGACAGAAATTTTAGGAGTTACTGTGGCTGTTTTCCTTTAAGCAGTATAAGCCATACTTTCACACTGCCCACTATTAAGCTATTATACTCTCCACCTTCTTCACTTTGTCACCATGATTTTTTTTTTAAAAGATTTATTTATTTGTGCATACAGAATTGGGTACAGGCCAGAGGTGCAGGGGTGGTAAGAAGATTCACCAGACAGAGTGGGGAGCAGAACAGGTAGATCGATGAAGTACACTGCTGAGGTGAGCAGTGGGCGGGTCAGGTCTGCTGTGCCATGTGGGTCACCTCAGGGGTGGAGAGTTGAACATATGCTGAAGTGGCTTGAGCTTCTTAGTGCTGTGCTTTAACCTGCTGCGCCACCAGGGAGGGCCCTGTCGCCATGTTTTTAATGTTGCCTGTATGAGTACAGGTATACTTGTCTCACTGTACTTCACAAATACTGTTTTGTGTTGTACAAATTGAAGGTTGGCAGCTCTGCATCAAGATGCAAACCTCTCAGCACCATTTTCCTAACAGTATGTGCTTACTTTGGGATTATCACATTTGGTGATTCTCGCTATACTTTTTTTTTTTTTTATAGATTTTTATTTGGGGAGCAGAACAGGTGGATCTACTGGAGTACACTGCAGAGGGGAGCAGTGGATAGACTGGTCTGCTGTGCCATGTGGGTCAGCTCCCTGGCTGGGGATCGAACTCAGGTCGCAGTGGCTGCTGACAGCTTGATAGCTGAGATTTTAACTCTTGCACCACTAGGCAGGCCCAGACTTTTAATTATATTTACTGTGCACATAGCAGATCTGTGATTAGTGGCTAGTGATTTTGATGTTACTATTATAATTGTTTTGGGGTCATAAACCTTATCTATGTAGTAAGATGGTGCGCTTCACTGATAAATGTGTTCTTGTATGTCTATCGCCTGTCCATTCTCCCACTTCTCCAGTCCTGGAGCCTCCGTATTTCCTAAGAATTGAAATTGGGCCAATTAGTTAGCCCTATAGTGGGCTCTGTGAGTTCTAGTGAAGAAATGCCATCTCTCTCACTTTATACCAAAAGCTAAAATGACTTCAGGTCTCAAGGCATGTTGAAAATCAAGATAGGCTAAAAGTCAGGCCTCTTGGGCCAAACCACTATTAACCATGTTAGCAATGCTAAGGAAAAGATCCTGAAGGAAACAAAGTGTTACTCCAGTCATCACATAAATCGTAACTGGGCAAACCAGTATTGCTGATTTAATCAAAGTTTTAATGGTCTGAGATGATCAAACTGGTCACATTACTTTAAGCCAAAGCCAATCCAGAGAAACTCTTCTATGAAGGCAGCAACAAAATAAGCCTGAAGCGAGCAGACGTTGGTTCATGAGGCCATTCTGTAATAAGAAAGTGCAAGGTCTGCACAATCCCTGGTGGTGCAGTAGGTTAAAACATAGCACTAAGCAGCCAAAGCCACTTCAGCATGAGTTTGATCCCCACCCCGGAGGTCACCCACATGGCACAGCAGACCTCTCCTGACCCCTCAGCAGTAGCAGTGTACTTCGACGATCTGCCTGTCCTGCTCCTTGCTGTAGTGAATCCTCTTACCGCACCTGTGCCTCTGGCCTGTACCCCAGTCCTGTATGAATAAAAATCAGATGAGGATGGCTGCATTAACAACACATTTTCAATGTATGCCATGTAGGACTTTTATAACTATAGAGTCAATGTCTGAAGTTCCAAAGGGCAGGCTTACTGTTTAGTGACTAATGCACCTGGCGAAGCCAGTGCTCATGTATCACTTTGACTATCCTAAGGCCCTTAAGAATTAAAGCTTTATCTGCTGTATGTACTCTACAAAAGGAACAAAGCCTGGATGACTGTTGGTCTGCTTACAGTATAGCATAATGATTAAGCCCACTATTGAGACCTGCTGCTCAGAGATTGCTTTCAAAATATAAAAATTGACAACACATCTGTGCTCAGATTAAGATGTACAAGATTTTTTTTTTTTGAACAAAATTAGTGTTTTATGCCTGCTAATACAACATCCTTTTGTGTAGCCCAGGGGTCAAGAAGTAATTCTAACTTTTAAAAAGTTTTATTATTTAAGAAATATAAGGCTATAGCTAAGTTGAAAACTTTTTGGAAAGCATCAACCTTTCTACACGTCAGGACGATTCATGATTCATGGGAGGTGAAAATGTCCACAAGTTTGGAAGTTGATTCCAATCCTCCTTGATGACTTTAAGGGGCCCAAGGCATCAGTGTGGAAGTTACTGAATATGTGGAGGAAATAGTGAGCTAGAGTCAGAAGTGGTGCCTGAAGAATGCAGCTGCTGCAATCTCATGAGAAAATAAATGAATGAGAAGCTGTTGTTTAAGTCTGAGCAAATGGTCTCTGCAATCTACTGGTAAATGCTGTGAATAGTGTTGAAAGTACTGTGAAGGATTCAGAAAATTCACAACTTATTTCCTACAGCAGTCGTAGGGTTTAAGAATGACCCCAATTTTCAAGTAAGTTCTACAGCATCCCATTCTACAGAGAAACCTTTCATGAAGAGGAATCCATTGTGGCAAGCTTGTTTTTAGAAACTGCCACTACCACCTTGCCCTTCAGCAACCCCCATGCAGTCATCAGTCATCAACATCGAGGCAAGACCTTTCACCAGCAACGAGATCACCACTGGCTGAAGATGGTCAGAATTTTTTGTGGTAAAGTCTATAAAGTATGTACTTTGCTTTTTAAGTCAGTGCTACTGCATACTTCATACTATAGTATAAACAACTTTAATATGCACTGGGAAGCAAGTTTATAAATTTGTGTATTATCACAAAATCAGTGCTCTGGAACCTGCAGTATCTTTTAGGCGTGCCTGTACTGTGTTTCAATGCTAAGAATAAAAAAGCTGCAGTGGTATTTTACTACTTTGTTAATCAGGTTATAGTCATTATAATGTTTTTATAGGTTTCTGATGTCATTACCCTGCATTTTTTCCTAATCAAGGAAATAATGATTTCCAAGACCAAAGAAAAAGCATTTTGAGAAAGCAAAATAAATCCTTTTAACAAAATACAAAGTAGAAGTAGCTGTTTAACTTCTGTATTTCAGATGAGATATAACTAACTTAACATGGATTGATTTTTCATAGTGTTTTAGATGTCCCATAATTCCCTCAAATAATGATTTTGAAATTTTACTGTTTTGGGCTTTACCTTTTATCTGATCTTTCAGCAGTAACTATGGTTTTGGATTACCAACCCTTTTGTGAAAAGCTATGAACCTGGGATAAAGTACAGGAAAGCAGTCACACCACTTCAGTCCCTCCGAAGATCATCAGGCAGTAGCTTACCTGGACAGTTAGCTAATATACTCACCTTTTGATTTTTGATGTCCTTAATATTTTCTTCAGAAATATCTTCCTAGTTTGCACCATAATCTTAGTTCAAGTCATAACTGGTGCTAAAAGTTGCTGGGTTAAGGATCCAGTCATATACAACTCAAAACAGAGCTAATGAGAACATGAAAGTAATTTGCTGGAAATGAAACCCCACAGCTCAACAAAAGCAAGTTTGGTTTATTTGAATGGTCTCATTAAATAAGTCTACAAAGGTAACAAACTGCAGCACAAAGCGCAATCTTACAAGAAGCGCAACACCCAGAGTTAGTGCAAAATGTACAATTAACGGCTGCTGAGAAACCCCCAAGGTTTGAATTGTTTATTTTTTTTTAAACAGTGTACATTGTTAAATAATGTAAGGAAAACATTATAATTCAGAAAGATTTCTTTAATGTGGAAAAAGATACTCAAAGTGTACTATTAACACAAATAATTTAAACAGTTCAGTAGCACTAGTTCATTCCTCTAGGCTTCAATTATTTCATCCACAGGAGGGAAAAAAAAAATCAACAGTAAATAAAACCAGTTCTTTCTGTGTGTGAGAGAAGAGACCTCAAAATTATTAAACCAAAACAACAAAATGACAAATGTGCTGCATTTGGCTCCCTCGTTCCTCTGTAAAAAGTGTTGTTTAAGCGGTCTGTTCTCAATTACTTGGCACCTTCTTTGTGCTATCCTTAAGTCTCCCCAAAAATGGTAAGCAGAGAATAAATAAGTAAACAACTTTGAAGCAGGGCTTGGAATCCCTGCCCTTTTCATTTTTACTTCCTAAAACCTTCAGCTTTCATTTGCATCATGGGACCGAGGCTATCTTAAAGGAACAACGTAGGACAGGATAGCCAGCCAGGCTCTTCCTAATGTGGTGAATCCTGGGATGTACTGTTGAGGTGGGTAAGAGGTTGGAAATATGTCAATTTCCCAACTCAAGAGTCAAGAGAAGAAGCACCCAAAAGTAAATCTTTTCCAATCTTCAGAGATAATAAAGATCCCAATCTTAGCCCATTAGGAGGATATATCCTGAAAGCTCTGAAAATAACAGAACTGCCCATTACAACTAGGCACTGTACTACATAATACTGGTTGGTTGCAGTTACTATCTAAGGGGAATAGTTGTTTATATGAAAATGTGAAAGTATGAGCTGTAATTCTAGAAATAGAGGTGGCACAAGAGATTATGATCCTGCAACTTTGGATATCATATAGGAAATAAGTAGAATAAGCATTCTTCCCTATAATGCTTAATTCAGATGTGAGTCCACTTTCCACAAAATAAGATACCCCAAGCTGAGAAATGCATGGTACATGTTTAACAAGAGGAAATGAATCCAGTTTTTTGTAGAGCAACTTTCTCCATCTATGACTTTTCACTATCACGTTTCCCATCGTAAATACTATCCCCCACCCCTTTCCCTTTATATTCACTCAGTCATTCCTTCTAGGTCACATCTGTGTTAAAGCCCAGCTCAAGTAAGATTTCTGGCAACCATTGGCCAGGCATCACATATCTTCAAAGCAAGTCTGTTCTCCCATCCCTTAGTCTTTTTCTTTTCACTTATCACACACCACCCTTTTATTAAACTGCCTGATTTTGTCACCACACCCCTCTCTGTTCTGGAATAGAACTTTCTGCTTTCAAACCACTGATGTCAACTTAACTTCTCACCCTATACACCTTAACACCTGCTCTAGACAAAATTGTTGAATGACTTAAAAACAAAAACAAAAATAAAAACAACCAAAACTTTCAATTTCCCTTTGGTATAATCCACTGCTGGGGTCACATAGACCACATGCCCTTTGCTTTCTGGGGTCTGATGAGAATTTGATGCTAATGGCAGAAGCAATAGAAGTCCAAGGCACTAAAATATCCAGCAAGCAATACTGGGAGAACAGAAGTATTCAAGTACAGTAATTTATACAATTTTACATTCACATTTATTATCTAATACAATGGAAATACAAAGGAAAAGTTAAAGTGTCTCAATAAGTAAAGGACAGAGCTAGTTTTTTTTTCAACTTTTTAAACCTTTCATATTTTACTCTTAAAACTACTGTTGTCCAACAACATTTATATATCACAGTGTTTCCACATCAAAACTGATGGCAAAGTTACATGTCCGCAGGGAACTTAATTTTTTTTCCTAATTGCTAATGCTGCAGTCAAAGCTGCTAATGTTGCTTGCTTAAAAGCACTAATGACCTATCATAAGAAAAGGTTGAAACCTCAGTCCCCTGGTGTTTTTCACTGGGTTCTAAAGAAAATTAAAAAACAAAACAAAACAAAAAAAACCAAAAAGGGAAAGAGCAAAAAAAGGGGGGGAGGGTTAGGTAGGAAAAAGCCCAATAGATTTTTGTCTTGTGGTACAGATTTTTGAGGGAATAAGGGATTTGGGGTGGGTACCAAAACTCAGAGCTCCACCCACTTGAAAATTATAGAGGGGTATGGTTTTCCATTGAGCTCTCTGGTAGCTTTCTAATAAACACAATTCTCTTCCCCAGCCTTTGATGTTGGGTATAGATAAATAGAAAAGCATAGTTTGAAGCTGCCCCACCACAAGAAAGCTGCTCTTCCCTTCTTGTCCCACTCCAATAAATGGTGACGGGAGGGAGGTTCTCCATTCTGAGGGTTCTAAGCGATATTGAAAACATTCCTTTCTGGCAAGAAATAACCAGTTAAATGCAGCACTAGTAGTTAGTATATAGGCTACTTTCCCATCCCCTGTCCCCCTCCCCCACCCCCCAGCATTCCATCTCCTGCCCCCAAATCTACTTGGTTAATGTCTCTAGGTCTAAGTGGTCCTCAGGTTGGAACCTGGGGGGTTGCTGATGGATTTCTGCAAATTGCTGATGTTGAAATTCTGTAAGGAGGCAGTTCCCACAGGCTGGAACTGACCAAGTGGCTGTGGTGCTGGGCCACCTGTTCCGCTCCACTGAGTGCTAAAGGGGGGAGCTGGAAAACCGTACTGCTGTGGGGGGCACATAGACTTGGTGAAGTGACCTAGAGAGGTAGCTGATGCTGCAGAGATGGGGGCAGAGCCACCCAGGTTTGAGGTCATGGAGGTACACAGCTGACCAGGTGCAGAAAACTTCCTTGCCATTCCAGGGCCCTGAAAACAAAAATAATTGCATGTAAAATATGGTGTGGTTATAATACCCATGTTATATGTGAAATGGGTGCTACTCAATTACAGTTTTACAACTGGAACTGTTCTAATCTTACACAGTATAGCAAAACCAAGCCATGCTTTCCACAGTAATTTTCAGGTCTTTATACTTAACAGTATGTATGTGTGTATGTGCAGGCAGTTCAGAGTTTGGAGGTAAAGGGAAAAAGAAAAGTTGAGATGACTGATAGCAATCAGGAAAGGAAAAATACAAGAGTAACCTGGGTGTCTTGTTGTGACTTTCTGGAAGTATTAATATTTATGAGCTACTAAAGGTCATAGCTCAAATGTTCTGTGCTTACATAGGTAATTTGTATCAGCTCTGATTCAGATATGTTGCTAAATGATACTCTGATACATTAACAAAATGGCAAAAAGGGAAGACTTACCTCATAATTCATGTGTCCTTTGCTTCCTCTCCTGCCTGAAAGGTTCATGGCATCTCGGGCCCAATTGTCTACCAACTTGTGCAGGTCATCTGTGAATGTGCCTTTCCTGCTGGATGTCATGGCAGGAGGCTGAGCTTGGGCAGCTTGGCTGTTCACTGTTCCCCCAACAGTGTTTGTGCTACTCGTCCCTAGAGTTCAAAGAAGGAATACAATCATTAGGAGGAGAGTGGGTTCAAATTTCAGTAAGAGGAAAACTTCACAATGTGCTGAATGGCAAGCCACAGATGGGGAGGGGACAAACTGGGAAGCCATGCAAGAAGGGAAGGTTCCAAGGTCTTATTTAATCAACTGTTTTGGCATAACAGCATAATGAAAACAGATTCTCTTCAGGAGCTGCAGGTAGTGCTAAACAACTCAGATGATGGTAGGCACAAAGGGTAGGTACCTCTTTCTGCCTATTCACATACATCTTAAGAGTACTGAAATTTACTGCAGTAGTCTAGTCCCAACATCGTACTGATGAGGGTGGCGTGGTATGGTTAATGACAATAGATGTTTTAGAATATTGCAGGGCAAAGAAGACTTCTTGTGCACTGGGCAGGATTAAAGTTGGAATTAAAGGAACACAAAGATAGGTGCTTGGCCCGGGAAAAGATGGGGTTCCCAAATCATGTGGATACTCTACAATCTTTAGCCATTCTTTAACACAAAGTGGTAAGAGAAGGAGCAGGCTTTGTT